GCTGAGGGGGAGGGGAGCGCGCGCGGAGGGGGAGGGGACGGGGACGCCCGGGCCCGGGCCCGCGGGCGGGCGGCGCCGTCAGGGCCTCACCGAGGGTCCTCGAAGCGCACGAAGGCGAAGGGCACGAGGCCGTGTCGGTTCTTGAGCTCGATCTCGCGGATGCGGCCGTACTTGTAAAACAGGTCCTCCAGGTCCTTCTCGCGCACGTCTGTCGGAAGGTTCCCCACGTAGATGCGCCCGTCGCCCTCGCCGCCGCGCTCATCCGCCCAGCCCGACATCCGCACCGCCCGACGCCGCGGGCCCGCCGCAGCTCACGTCGCGCCGCCGCCGCCTCAGCCTGGTCCCCCCGCAGCGTCCCCGCGGGCTCGGAGGCGCTCAGCCGCACTGCATTGTGGGAACGCGGAACGGAAGCGAAAGGGTCGGAGGAAGCGACGGGAATCCTCTTAAAGAGGCAGCGGCCGCGAGGAGTGCGCGTGCGCAGGCGCGGCAGCGGAGCTCTCGGTAGGTGCCGGCGGGCCGCAGGGGGCGTGAGGGAGACAGTGTTTAGAATTTGGTGCCCAAACGCTGTGCGTTCCTCGGCGGCGCGGATTGGGCGGGAGACCTGGGCTCCTAGAGTTTCTCCCTCTCTAGCGCCGCCTGCTGCGCAGGCCGTGGCGAGCGCGCTGAGGTGAAGCGAACGGCGCCCTGGGAAGGACCGCGAGCCCGGCTGGGGGCAGCACGCGGCGGGCTCGAGTCCCGGCGCGGCCTTGGGTCGGTGCCCCTCGCGGCCACCTGTCCCCGCTTTACGCCTGCTTAGCTCGGCCGGGGCTGACCCTGCGATGCTATCCGGAGACGAGGATGTGAGGACCGCAATAACGGTGACCGCCGTCGCTACCGAGCGCCCCTGACGAGGTGTGCATTTCACCCTCGTCCAGCAGGAGCCCCCGCTCCGCGTTGCAAGGGAGAACCCCGAGGTCTCAGAGTGGGGTCAGGGTTAGAACCAGCGCCGGCCCCTCCCTTGTGCCGAGGGCGGGCCTTAGTTACCCACACCCGTGGCGCGTGTCCACAGGCGCGACCTGTAACGCACAAGGTGTTACAGGAAAGAGGACTTCAACCAGAAAGTCTTCATCTAAGGTTTTTAATATTAAAAATGAAACCTCTACTGGGCGTGGTGGCGCACGCCTGTGATCCCAGCACTCTTGGTGGCCTCCAGTTCGAGGCCGGCCTGAGCCACACAGTTCTAAGCCACCCTGAACTACAGAGCGATACCCAGTCTCAAGAAAACAAAAATAGATAAACTAAATAAATATGAGGGAAAAAAAATGAGGGGCTGGGGATTTAGCTCAGGGGCAAAGCGCCTGCCTGGCAAGCACAAGGTCGTGAGTTCGATTCCCGGTACCGGAAAAAAAAAAAAAAAAAAAAAAAAACCCAAAGGATTCCTGATCTGTCGACAGGTCTACGTGCTGTCAGCTTCACTTCTGCCCCAGGTTTTGGTTTCTGTGTTCGCAGAAAATAAAAGTGCTCCTGCCTCCGAGCCTAACCATGTCGTCTCACAAGACTTTCAGAATCAAAGGATTCCTGGCCAACGAGCAAAAACAGAATCGTCCCATTCCTCCATGGATTTGGATGAAGACGGGTAATAAAGTCAGGCACAACTCCAAGAGGAGACACTGGAGGAGGACGGAGCTGGGACTGTAAGGAGTTCCACATGAGCTGCAGCACATTTATCCTCTCGGAGGTCACAAGATGATACCCTCGGGGCTGGGGATTTAGCTCAGCGGCAAAGCGCCTGCCTGGCAAGCGCAAGGTCGTGAAGTTCGGTTCCCGGTACCGGAGAAAAACCAACAACAACAAAAAAAGATGATACCCTCTTTATCATGGTCAAGAAAATATCACCGTATCAAGCTTAAAAAATACCGTTGGCTGGACAGTGGAACATGCTTAATCAGGAATCTTAATCTTTTTCTGTGATCAGTACTGATAGAGCAATAATAAGTATTTGAAACCTTAAAAACAAACAAACAAACAAACAAGGGCCCAGGATATAGTTTAACAGCACAGTGCCTGCCTGGCAAGCAAAAGGTCCTGAGTTCGATTCCCCGTACCAAGAAAATACATTTATTTAAAAAAAAAAAAAATCTCCTGTTGGCAATGATTTGTGTATTATACTTTTAGGTACTTATCAGATTACCTGTAATCAGCATGTACTTTTTTTTTTTTTAAATTTTGGGGGGGAGTTTTTTTCCGGTACCGGAAATCAAACTCATGACCTCGCACTTGCCAGGCAGGCGCTGTGCCGCTGAGCTAAATCCTCAGCCCCTACTATTTTATAATAGGAATAAAATTCAAATTATTAAACAGGGCATGGTGGCACACTCCTGTAATCCCAGCACTCCAGAAGTTGAGGCAGGAGGATCATTGTAAATTCGAGATGAGACTGGGCTACAAAATGAGCTCAAGGCAGCCTGAACTGCATAGTGAGTCCCTGTCTCAAAAAAGAGACCAAAAAAACCCCTCAAATTATTTAGAAAATGAAACAATCAGACTATGTGTTGTTTTCTGGATTATATAATGTGTCTAGCAATCCTCTGCTGAGTTTCCAAAACCAAGCAGGGAAAGTCCCTAGCCAAGGGTTATTTATTTATTTATTTATTGGAGGCAGGGGCTCACTATACAGTTAAGGCTGTCCTTGAGCTCACTTTGTGGCCCAGACTGGCCTCAAACTTGCAACAATCATCTATGTGATTTTTACCTGGAAAGTTAAAAGAACAAAAACCAAGTGTGGTTGCCCATGCCTGTATGTCCCCTCCCAGGACTTGGGAGGTTGAGGTAGGAGAATGAAAGTCAGCCTAGACTACATAGTGAGTTCAAGGGTATTCTTGGTACATAACAAAAGCTGTTTCAAAAAAATCCAAAATAAAACAAAAACCCAGGCCTCATGGCACATGCCTGTAATCCCAGTACTCTGAGGGGCTAAGGCAGGAGAATCTCAAGTTTAAACCTAGCCTGAACAATTTACTGAGACCCTGTCTTAGAACATAAAGGGGAGCGTTAAAGATGTAGTTCACTGTGAAGGCCCTAGATTCAATTCCCAATATGTGAAAAAAAAAAAAAAAAAAAAAGCACTCATGGGGTCAATGTAGAAAGTATCACTGTATAAACATGTAAACCACCTCCAGTGACTGTAGATTTTTATTAATCTTGTTTTTTGGGGGTTTTTTTGTTTGTTTGTTTTTTGTTTTGTTTTTTTCTGCTACCAGGAATCAAACTCATGACCTCACGCTTGCCAGGCAGGCACTGTGCCACTGAGCTAAATCGCCAGCCCCTAATCTTTATAGATTAATACCTGCTGCTGTGCAGTGTGAGACTTTCGACTTCCTCCCACCCCTCCCTCCCTGTTGATGGTGGGCCTATACCACCTTGTCTATCTTGTCAATAAACTTGTCTTCTGACCAACAATGTATCTATTCATTATTCCTACTGTGATAATAAGAAAGGTGCTGACGGGCTTGTCCTGGGTGTGAAAAGCCATTGAACTGGGCGGGCTGTGAAGAGCTCATGCATTTCCCACAGAAAGCTGTTTACTGTCTAGGAGAGAGGAGGGCACTGCAAGATTTTAAAAAAAAATTAACACCTGGGATAAAACCATCCTGCAAACCTGCCTATCGGGTTTTCTCCCTCTTGCTGTGGCATCAGTCCCCTCTGCCATCCCAGCAAAATGTTTCCTTCTGTGTGAGTCCATGAGCCGCTCCCAACTGTGGCCCTTGGCAGCCGTGGGCACAGCGGAAGCGATAAGGAGGAAACCATCTGTGGGAAAATGAGTCATCTTGGGGAGGGTGGTCGGGGCTGGCGGGAGAGAACTGGGCGGGGTCACCAAGGGAACCTGTTCCTCCTCATGTCATGTACCTCTGTGTTTGTGACCCAGGGTGAAATGAAACATTCCTGGGCTAGGAGGCGATTCAAGTACAGTGCTTGCCTAGCATGTTCGCGGCCCTGGCTGGGATCCTCAGCACCGCAAACAAACAAAAAAAGATAATAATTAAAAAAAAAAATAAAACATTTCTGTAGAGCTACAGAAGAACTGAGCCCTGCAGGGGAGAAGCTGCCACGGAATCTGGGATTTAGAGTTTGGCATGGGAGAGCAGAGAGCTTAAGGGAAGCAAGTGCCAAGTGGGGGAGGATGAGAAGACACAGATGGGGAAGATAATTCCAGAAGATTTGCAGGGTGTCATGAATATAATTCCCCCTTGGTCTTTTCGTAAGGGACTGCGGAAAGTCTTTTAACATTGTTTTCCCATTATTTTTGGGTAATGAAGGAACTGCTCTCTATATGTGGCCGAACAGGTGGGAAGACAAGGCCTGGTTTTATATGAGGTTACTTAAAGCAATGAACATACTGAGTTTGTAGCAGGTTGGATGCATTATTTTTGCTAATCTGTTATATTTTGAGATGGAATCTTCAAATAGTTATTTTCCCCTTTTTAAGTTTATTTTCAAATAGCTTTTCATATCAGTACTTTTTTTACAGATTCTCAGGCTTTAAGCATCAATGAACATAGCCAAGCATGGTGGTCACACCTGTATTCCCAGCACTCTTGGGAGGCTGAGGCAGGAGGATTACAAATTCAAGCCCAGCCTGGGCAATTTAATGTCTTAGTGAGACCCTGGCAAAGAATGAAAAAGAGGATTGATGATGTAGTTCAGGGCAGAATTAAAAAGAAAATTAAAAAGAAAAATGTGAACCACTGCCTCCCCACTCCCCAACTGCTACCCCCTCCCTTGAATCTGAGCCTGCAAATTTCTAAAAGGTATATGCAAAATAATGTGCAGAAGCTAGGCATGATGGTACACACCTATAATCCCAGCACTTGGGAAGCTAGGACAAGAGGACTGCCACAAATTTGAGGCCAGCCTGGGCTACAGAGTGAGTTCAAGGCCAGTGAACTACAAAGTGAGACCTTGTCTCAAAAAAAAGAAAAGAAAGAAAAGAAACGATAAGAAAAAAAGTACGAAGGGATAGGTAGCCCAATGTAAAGGTGCTGGGTTCGATCCCTAGTTCTGATGATGGTGGTGGAGATGGTGATAACTGATGTACAGGGGCAGAAAAGTCCTTTTACTCTGGAGAGAATATTCATGCAGTGCAGTCCAATAGAATTTTCTGCTGGTCACGATGGTAGATGCTTATAATCCCAGTAGTAAGGCTGAAGCAGAAAGATCGCTGTGAGTTCAAAGCCAGCCTGAGCTACATAGTGATTTTTAAGGCTGGCCTGAGCTACGTAGACCTTGTCTCAAAAAACAAAACAAACAAATGACAAATAAAAAGCAAAAATAGAACTTTCTGTGATGATGGAAATTTTCCAGTTCTACACGGTAGCCATTAACTATTGAGT